TTTCGAAATATTCGACTGGATAAATTAAAATGGCCCTGTATACAAATATTTTGAATAATTTCTATAATGTCTCAAAATTATCTCACATATATAATAAACTAAAACAAACATACACACGCACACACGCACACACAACGCACACGTTCACGCACATTATAACAATAAATAATTATTATTCATTTTAATTATTTGTGTTTATTATTATTATTAGTATACGCTTACAAAAAACACTCAATTGTGGGTGTAAACACAAAAAAATTGGGTATAAACACCTAAATTTGAGTGTTAATAACTAACTGACTTCTTCAAGTCAAGAAATCTTTGAATGTACATACAATGAAAATTTGTACAATAGGTAATGTTTCAAGTAAAATATTTCTAGAATATTCGATTTCAGATATTCTGATATATTTTCCGCGACAGATTTCCAGAATATTTCAAAAACTTCGCAAATATATCGTACGATAAGCTTTTCGAATACGTTTATTGATTGGAGGACAGAGTATTTCTAAGATTGCTCGCTCTTGACATCCTAGAAATTCTCTATCAGACAATCAGTCAACATATTCGACTTGCTTGTCGTGCGACATATGGAAAGGTCGTTTTACATTAAGGTGGTTCTACATTAGTTGCAAACTGATGGCAAGCAGTTCTTGATACGACAGCTAAGGCATTTTTCGTTTCGTGATCACGATGGGTGCTTTCCAATTGCTTAACACATCTTGACACACACGTACACAAAACCAGTTTATTGGTCACATATTATCTAAAATATCTTGTAAGATAATATGCAACCAATAAACTGGTTTTGTGTGACACAGTGTACGCAACTGGAAAGCACCCGCTACTGTTGGTTGGTTGATCCACTTAACGCTCGCAACGCCTCGAGTAACAAAGATAGAATGACGCTCGCGATGTTGTGAGCGTTAAGTGGATCAAACTAACCAACCAAACGCTATCGTAGTTACGAAACGAAAAAACGCCTCTAATCAAAGCGTCAGTGCTGTTGACGCTTCTAAAGATATTAATAATATATTAAAAATTTGTTAATATTAAAATAAATGTAATGTTTCATTTTTAAATATTAAAAAATAATAAAATCGATATATCGATTCTTCGATATCAATTTTTTCCATTATTATCGATTTTTTCGATAATGGTTTTTTTTCAATATCGCGCATCCCTACTTACGACAATCGCAAAATTGTCACAGATAAAAATTAATTTCTCTGAAACCATGTTGTGAAAACTAATCAAATTCTGCAAATAGTTCTAGTATTTCAGGATCTATATAAAAATACATAATTTTTGATAGTATTTCTTCTATACGTTTTTACTCATTATATTCAGGAAATTTACTTTTGCCATAAAAATAAGTGTAAAATTAACATAATAATTACTCTCGGTTTAGCAAAAGGTTTTGAAATTTTAGATCACGTCCGAATACGTCGGACACGTCTATACGCCACGGCGGTTAGGCTGGAACGTTTTTTCTACAGTCCACTAACTCCTTACAACTAGGGATGCGCGATATTTACCGATTAATCGATACGTCCAATTTTTTTTATCGAAAAACGGATTATTAATTGTCGATATTTTTGAGGCCCGATATATCGATGTTCGATTTTTTTTGTAAATATTGAAAGTTTGCTACGTCATGTGCAACTTCAAATTTAAAATAAAAATAGATAAATTCAAATTTCTGTCGTAACAAATTTCGTAACGTTCTAATGTTATCGACGATTGTTTACAATATTAATTTTAATCATGGACATAGTATACATGGATTCCGAATGCTCTATGGCTGGTATTCATAGTCCGATTTTATATTTAAAATTATCTTAAATACTGTCTTAAGATGTCATGAACCAATCACAGAGCCAATCGTATCTTAAGACATTACTTAAGATGGTCTTGAAATAAGATTCAACTATGACCGGTCTATGTTCTGTCATCTAATAGAGTGAAGCTAACATCTAGAAAGAGAGCTAGAATAGAGCTATAGTTTTCTTCCTATTTTGTCACTTTTTGTTGCGCGTGTATCCATTTCTCGTTTCCATAATATTATAGAGCGCAATAGTACCCCGACTAGACTGGCAAGTAAAGGTATTACTTAAATTTTATTGCATACTTTGTCTGTGCAGAAAGAGACAGAGAACAGACAGAAGCTGTACATATTGGCTTCACTTTTCTGGCCGTATATGGGATCTATATATACCACGTCCATGATTTAAACATATTTATGCTAATATTACATATATCGTACGATAAGCTTTTCGAATATGTTTATTGATTGGAGGACAGAGTATTTCTAGAATTGCACGCTCCTGACACCCTAGAAATTCTCTATCAGACAATCGACCAACATATTTGACTTGCTTGTCGTGCGACATATAAAAAGGTCGTTTTACATTAAAGTGGTTCTACATTAGTTGCAAACTGATCGCAAGCAGACGCAATTCTTGATGCGACAGCTAATCAAAGCGTCAGTGGTGCTGTTGAAGCTTCTAATTATAAAGATATTAATATATTAAAAATTTGTTAATATTAAAACAAATGTAATGTTTAACTTTTAAATATTAAAAATTAAAAAAATAAAATCAAAATATCGATTCTTCGATTTTTTGCAATAATCGATTATTTGATATAAATTTTTTCCATTATTATCGATTTTTTCGATAACGGTTTTTTTTCAATATCGCGCATCCATACAACAATCGCAAAATTGTCACAAATAAAAATTAATTTCTCTGAAACCGTGTTGTGAAAACTAATCAAATTCTGCAAATAGTTCCAGTAATTCAGGATCTATATGTATAAAAATACATAATTTTTGGTACTATTTTTTCTATACGTTTTTACTCATTATATTCAGGAAAATTACTTTTGCCATAAAAATACGTGTAAAATTAACATAATAATTACTTTCGATTTAGCAAAAGGATTTGAAATTATATTATAAATAATAAAGGAAAAGTTATTCAAAGTTTTATCGAATTCGGAAAAGTTATTCAAAGTTTTATCGGTACTATTTGTACATAACTCAGATACATCCTTAAACTTCTGCAACCTATCTCGGGAGATAAGACATTTGGAGCGCGATGGAAACGATGATGACATATTTGAAGACACAGTAAGAATTACTGTAATATTTCTTAGCGTTAAGTAAATAATTCGTAGCACTACTACATATACTCCATAGCGCTCAGAGAGCTAAATGGACTACACCCAGAATAAGACTATTAGCAAAAATTTTTTAGGTTTACTGTACAGCAAAAATTTTTTATGTTTACATTATCAAATTATGTCTATTCTACTTAACAATTATGTGTCAAGAAAATACGAAGTGTTTGTCAGTTACAGAATACAAACAATTTATTTTTGCAAAATGCATTAAATTACAAAAACAATAAATAGCACGTACGACTGCCGAAGCAACTACAGTGTATATGTATATATTTTTACAACCAATTATAAAATATAATTTTTTTTACAAATTATATCTTTGCGGGCGATGAAACAATACTTGTTAATAAATATATTGTAGGTTATATAAGTCTCAAATTGATAATGCGTCTTTTATTATTTTCTGATAGACGCCTTATCAAAGAGGATAACGTTTATTGTCGCACAAATAAATTGGGTTTACAATTCCCTAAAAACATCCACACACTATATTACACTCTGGCACTTGGGACTAGTGATGTGAGGTGACAGAATATTCTGAGGATATTGTTCATGCATTTTCAAAACATCCCAATCCATAGAAAATGTACTTACAACAGTCTCAAAATACTTTCAAAACTTAAAAAAATTCTTTTAAAAAAATCTCAGACATTGCGAAAAAGAATATTTACTACAAAAATACGTCAAGAGTATAGTAACAATATGTTGTCTCATGAAAGTTTCTACTAATGTCGATTAAACCTGAATTTAAGTCTTTGTCTGAATGAAGTTTAAACTCAATTAAAAAATTTAATTAATGTTGATAGAAACAAGCATAAGCATTTCTTTTTACCTTTGCAAGATACTCATATCCTTGTAGAAACATTTTCCAATAGCCAAAGTATACTTTTATAACATTCTTATTCCTAATATTTTTAGTATATTTTCTGGTACTCTTTTTTTCCAAAGGACTTCTGTCGGAATATCCTCCTTTTTTAAATAATCCTCGAGAATATCTTCTCACATCACTATGTAAGAGCTTGAACATAGCCGTTGCGGAAAATTGACTGAATAGATCAGCTGGAGAATCCAGGATTAGTATGCTCTATGATGCAACGTCGGCAGTAGCGCTTGACTGCGCGGTAACCGACCCATGTGACTCTAGGACACTCACCAATGTTGAGCTGGCGTAGACCGCGCACATAATAAGCCAATGCCTCAAGGCCGGTATCAGTTACTCTCTCACAGCCGCACAACGACAGTTTTTTCAGGTTCGGACATCCGGTAGAGAGTGCCTCAAGAGTCGCGTCGCCGATATCACACTTGCCAATATCCAGAGCTCGCATGCGTGGGCAGCCACGCGCTAGAGCGACGGTTGCACTGTCACTGAGTGCTTCGCAACCACGGGCGTTTAGATAACGCAGCTTGTAGCAGTGACGCGCAACAACTAGTAAACCGGCATCGGATACGCGGTCGCACTTACCTACGGAAAAATAACGTAACGATGGCCCGAGACGTGCCGCTAATTCGCGTACCCCATAATCCGTCACCTTCACGCAGTCTGACATCGACAATTGGCGCAAATTGGCACAATAGGAGGCAATCGCGACCAGACTGGCATCGGTAATGCGAACGCATCTACGCAGATAAAGGTATCCCAAGTGTGACATACGTGACAGACTAAGTACCAGACCGGAGTCCTCCACACCATGACAGTCGCTGAGATCCAGCGACTGCAATTGCAAGTTGGTGGTAGTGCGACTGCAGGCCCGAGTCACATTTGAACAACCAGTGAGATCAAGCTCCCTGAGATGGGCGCAGCTGTCTAGCACAGTGGTGACATTGGCATCATTGACGCGACGCGAATGACGCAAAATGAGAGAAGTGAGATTGAGAAATGGCAATTGAACGAAAATTCCAGGCAATCCAACGGCGCCTTCTAGTATCAGACGACGAATGCAGGTATGACAGCCGCGACGCGTTAATGCATTCAACGCCATAGTGGCATTCTGCGGATAGCGCACCTCGACTTCGCGCCAGAGTGCTGGATGCCACGCGATCTCCCAAAGACGCCGGCAGGTCTGTGCCAGAGTACAACGATCGCGAGTACCAAGCCAACTGAAGATCCTTAGCAGCAAATTGTCATCAAGTTGGCAGAGATCTGCACCTGTATGCAGAACCAAGTGGTGTTTGCTAGGTGGCTGCAGTTGCTGCTGTTGACGCACGGATACACTAATTGCGCCTGGGGTCGATGAAGATGATGACGATGACGTTGTACGACAAGCATTATTATCGAGTGTATGATAACCCAAATCGATAGTGTCCACTCCTGGTCGATACACAGTGACTTTCTGTGACGAATAACCACCCCCTTGCTTGGAACAGCTTTGTTCCCCAAAATTAGGAAAAAGAAGTGGGCACGATCCGTCCATTCCATGCTCTGTTCTACAAACAAATTTATTTATATTATTATTATATACAATTACGATTTGCATTATTATACAACTATGCAATTAATCGGATATTTTCAAAATGAAAATATTAAATATCAAATGATAATCTCTTTTAAATGTTACACTAATTAAAAAAAAAACTTATTTTACAAATTAAATTATGAAAATTATAATTTTGAGAGAGAGAGAGAGAAAGAGAAATATTTTTCTCAGTTAATTTATTTAATAAATATATGTATTTACTAAAGAAAAAAAAAACTTGAATTAAAACTTTTTATGGAATTATTATTTAATTAATTAATAATTATTTAATTAAGTACTCAATGTGCTAAAGAAATAAGGCTTTATAAAGAGATGAGGCTTTTAATTTATACGTGTACAAATATAACTTCAAAAATCAAATCATGCATAGTAATTGTTAAGTATCTGATTATGACAATTATCCAGACAACAGATATCCCATAATCATTCTAGACATCCTATGTCAGGATATACTGGAATATGACATCTTAAATATATTCAGAATGATTTTAGGATACGTTGCACTATCTGAGTAATATTTACTGATAGATGATAAATTTACTATAAATTCATAAAAATATTTATATACTCCTTATAAAGGAAAATAGTTGTATAGTTTTATCAATCAATTTGCTATTGCACATGAGACAGCATTGTATTTTCAAAAATTTTATTACTATAAATCTTATATGTTATAATCGTAAACAATTTAAGTGACATGTATATATAGATAAGCATTGAAGATACCAAATTTGAAAATTGAACAAACTTCTAAATTTGAACAAACTTTTAAAAAAGAAACTTAAAATATAATTTGTAAGGATATATACTTTTAAGGAATATATCAACAGATTTATAATCATTACAATAACAATAAACAAAAATATAGCAAAAATATAAAAATGTCAGATTAAAAACCTCAGATTTATGATTATAATTGATAATATAATTGATAATTATAATTGATAATATAATTGATAAAGAAAATATATTATTGCATAATTATAAAAATATAAGAATTATAGGTTTATAGTTAATAATTATGATAACAATAAATGAAAAATTACACAACAAAAATAATACGCTATTTTAAATGTCCAAATTCTGGATATTATTAATATTAGCTAGGCAGCTGGGTATTAATGATAAAATCTAAATGTTTGACAATCTTAATATATACACGCAGCTCTAATTACCTCTAAGCTAGACGATTAGATTTACTCTATGCTATACATAAAGTATTTCTCGTTTATACATCCTCGTCTCTCGATCGATCCAACACTCAGGCATTTGATAAATTTCGCGATCTCAAATTTCCCGCGCGGTCACGTTTTGTACGCGTTGTCCATAAATTACACCATGGAGCCTTATCCGACATCGGTAGTGTCGCGTCTGTTTTTATTTTCGACGCGTAAATTTACTCACAACGATATGCCAAACAGGAGTCAGCAACTGTGCGTGACATCACCGAACAATATCGATTTATCCGCCATCACCTCCATGTTGATCCTGCATTCCAATTCACGAAGCAGCTGTGAGGCCTGTAATGAATTTCACTCTCGGGCGGAGACCAACAGACCGCAGCGCAGTTTACTTTATGCTAATTGTGCCGAGCTCCAATGTTGTCAAATCACTTATTATACAGCTGCTAAAGAACGTATGAAATCAAGAGAGTTTCGAATGCACAGGGAAATATCTGACAAATGACAGGCCTTCAGCACACTCTGACACACTACAGGACTCCGACACTATCGACAGTTCTGCCTGTGACGACTCGACGGACCCCTCTTGGACCCAACTGGACCCCACTCGCTACTACTAGAGAGAAGTCTGAGAGCGGCTATCGAGTCGGCGGACCGTTTTACAGGCGACGCGCCCCCTGAGAAAGTGCGACTAAACTATATCCGTCCCGGTGGTAACGGTAAAGTGCACCTGTGGTTTGTGTCCGCTCTACTTCTATACAATGGGTGCTTTCCAGTTGCGTACACTGTGTTACACAAAACCAGTTTATTGATTGCATATTATTTTACAAGATATTTTAGATAATATGTGACCAATAAACTGGTTTAGTGTACGTGTGTGTCAAGATATGTATAAGCACCCTAGATGCTTTCTAGTTGCGTACACTGTTACACAAAACCAGTTTATTGGTTGCATATTATCTTACAAGATATGTTATATAATATGTGACCAATAAACTGGTTTTGTATTCGTATGTGTTGGGAGCGTCCCGATTGACCACAGTACAATTGGACACAACCAACCGATGAAAAGAATTATCTAGTGAATTACTAGGTCGAACTAATTATTACAATCTGTGTCCAATCGTATCGTGGTCAATCGGGTCCACCCGTATGTGTCAAGATATGTTAAGCAATTGGAAAGTATCCTATGTTAATGTTTGATTGTGTCAAATATCTTTCCGATTAAATTATATATATCCCGATAACCAAATGTTTACACGATGATCGCACGGTGTGCTCATACATGCTGTCGTTGTGCTATCCAGTTGCAGTCGCATATGACAAGCACAGTGACAGCGCAACATGTTGACATGTCCATCCATCTATCATGAATTGGCCCCGGATATAATCTATCGCCACCTAAGGAATGTTGACATGTCGTGCGAGCATTAGGTGCGTTCAGGAGACAGAACGGTTACACAACAGTTGAGTAATTGGATGTATATCAGTTGGACACGGGGCAATTGGACACAGTCCAATCACAAGTCGCTGTTCCAAGAGACCCTACAAATGTCTCTAATCACACGGTGCTGTGATTGGCTGTGTCCAAATGCACCGTGTCCAAGTGCACCGCTCCCGAGTAATTAGTCAATATAATTGATCTAAAGTTAGGGATCTAACAGTAAGGACCAATAATCACTAACCGCTCTCTGATTAGCTATGTTTTCTGAACGCAGCCATTGTGAAAGCTCTGTGCACCTTTGAATGACGGAATTGTGCAAGTATGTAAATTATTTTAGACTTTTTTTTATTTAATTCTATACAGGGAATTGTACTAAAGATAAAAATATCATGCTTTGTATATTTATATTTTTATTTATAACTTATTCGTTACTTAGCAATACAAACTGTCGGTTATTCCACAAAATTGCAATATTCCACAAAAGTAAAATTTATGTATATGCTAATATAACTGTTAATAATAACATATATTTAATACAAAAACATATAATAATTTATATAATAACTTATATAATAATTAATATAATAACTTATATAATAATTAATATAATAACTTATATAATAATTTTAATTATAATAACATATGAAATAATAAATAAAATACATAACTCAGACAGCACACAATACCCTCACAGCACATTAATATTGCCATGAGTTTACAACAACCTTAAATTGTAAGATGGTATCATTACAGGGAGGTTAATAAACCTGTCATTAACCTTCTAATAACATGAAAATGTTCGTCCATGTTCATTCCATTAACATTACAAAAACCTTATACGGAACGTTATATTAAAGTTAATATAATATGCCTAGAATCTTTCAATATTTTTAATAAGAAATTCTTGATAAAGAAATATTATTTATATTCAGCTTAGTCGATTTATATTGATTTTAAATGAAATTTAGCTCTTTTATTTGATTTTTCACTATTTTCACACCTGAAAATTTACTCAATACTAGTCGGACGCGAACTTGAGATCTCAGATACCTCTAAGTTCCTAGTCTATCATTTTGACTGCTGCGCTATTTATTCAACTGATACTAAAGGCCATTCTACAATAGCTGTAAGAATATGGCTGTAAGGCTGTAAGACTCGAAATTAATTATTTTCATTCGCTGATAGCTCACGTTACAGCCTTATATTTTTATAGCAATTGTAGAATGGCCTTAAGACCAGTATTCATAGTCCGATCTTATATTT